AAATGAAATAAAGTGATCTGCTCACGCAGAGAGACAATGTAGTTATTAATACTTAATATTTCATCTTTTTTATGTTTCCAGTTATATTTTACTCTTTCATTGCCACCTTGATATTGGTGCTTATACTCTTCTTAAGTTTCATGTGCTTTACATTGCAATATTCCAAGAATTCACATATATAAAATAAAAAACTGGGAGATTATATTACTCCTTACTTCTAATGTGATAGACTATATTACAATTACTTTTGTTATACAACATACTAGCCACTAAACACGTATGAATAAATGCCTGGGGTAGACATTTCACTCCTGGGAACAAGACGTAGCTAGCTACCTTCAGGGCAGTGGATGAGGTTACGGTCCATACCGAAACCTGGCACAGGCAGAACCTTTGAGACTTCTATCGTGAAGAGACTGGTGAGTGCAGTAGAGACTGGGCGCTTTAGGCACATACAGTACATTCCAAATGAACACCTACAGCACAGAAGAACTTGAAAAACTGTCTTTCAGTCAAAACATCAGTGTGGTAAGTGTGAACATTAACAAACCTATGTACAGTTGTTCACCCCTGTATGTTATTGCTATACCTTGCATTGTCTTGATTACATTATGCAAATTAATTTTCCATACCACTGTATAGCTTGTAATTTGCCCTACTTTCATAGTTCATGGTTTTAATGCAGATTACCTTAGGTAAGATAGGATGTATTACACAATAGGATAGATTGTGAAAAGAAAGTGCTGTAACTTAAATAGTACGCATTGCTGAGACCCCATTTCCAGTACTGAATATAATTTTGCAGTATATGGAGGAAACTGTACTGAACTGAAATCAAAGTAAGGCATCAAGATTAATTCCCTATCAAATTTGTCAAATGTCCACAAGTAGAAACTAAATAATTAGAACATAAGAAATGTTACAAATGAGAAGAATTTGGCCCATATACTGTAACTTGTTTGGACACAGATATTGTTGATCCCAGGATCATATCCAGTTCTATCCTGGAAGTCAGGGCATACCATTAACAACATGGCAGTATTTTGTAGAAGTGTGTAACAAGCTAATCAGTTATATTGGTAAAATTAATACCCTGGTTTCCTTCAAGGAATGGCTGGACAAGGTCTTTGAATTCTAGTGGATTATTGATCCAAACACACTAGACAGTCTTGTTTTATTTGTAACCTTTTCCGTGCTCTTAGTAATAACAGCAGTTTTATCTCATTTGTAACGTTTGATCTTACTCAGTTTGTTTGTACCCCTACACATAAAGGACACACCTTAGAGATTTAATTATTGTAAATGACTCTTTTGTCTCCCACTGCCCTCCCCTTGATCTAGGCCTCTCTGACCACTTAGCTAATCTTTTCAAACTGGAATTACCTGTTTCTAACACTTCCCCCTCATGCTCTGTACATTTCCACAACAGGTGATCAATTGATTCCCAAGGTTTGCAAATTCTCTTCTGTCAATGGCTATATAAAATAAAGTTTATTATTATTATTATTATTATTATTATTATTACTCCAATAACAGTGTTATTACTAAAATACTGTAGCATACAGTATCAGCCATTGTTAATGACTAAGGCAATCTCATAATTTAAATAATTCCTGGTATTAGTTAAAATAAGAGATCTGGAACAAAAGGCATGAACGTTTAGATGGCTACGTGCCGCACACAAATATGAGGACTCAAGTAAGATTAAAAAGACTTTGAATTACTGACAATGAGGCAGAATTATGTCACCTGGAGAAGGAAGAGGGAGCATGTTGAAACGGGAAAAAAGACCAGAGAAAAAAGAGGCACACAACTTTGGGGATTCTATAGCACAGTTTATTATGTAGGCCCTCAAAAAGCCAGGCAGAGATATATCTTCAGAACTGAGTAGGTCAACTGCAACATTAAATGAGCATTTGCATTATCATATAATAATGACTGCTTTGTCAGAAAAAAGGATATATGTGGACACCACACTGACAAACTACACAAAATTGATATATTTGGACACTAGAATGCAAGCTTAGCAGAATATTTAGTTATCTAACTTTCCTCAAGAACCCAGTGCAGCTCAGATTTTTCTGACCTACAGTTACCTTTAAGAACATACGATGGTCTACTTTTAAAAACAAAGGAGAAACTAATTCAACTCATGTCCTCTCTTTTGTTCCATGAACCATTTGACAAATTTGTGAAATGACTACAAAAATACAAACAACAATTTTGAATGTCAGTTGTGCTGCTTTTTTTCCCCACAAAGAACGTCTTTGTGTTGCTGGGTATATTAAAAAAACACATTTTTTTTTAATTAAAAAATATTTTAACATACATCCATTAAAAACACATCCCTCATATTTGTAGCATAAAACAAATCACATAATGCTAAAAAACAAGTCCAGTGCATTATACTGTATATGCACGCATACTCCACCAAGTGCATTTATACTTTCCTCCACTGTGCTCTTTCCCCACCATTTTTGCCTCTTTTTACATCACATTAAGCATCAGTTCCTCTTTACCTACTTCCAGCTCTGCTTTGTTTAGGTACTGTATAGCTATGGACAATGCTGTACCATAGCTTCCTGTATTCGGGCAAGAACATGTACTCTATTTTTAAAACTGAAAAAAACAAAATACTGGTAACTAAATTCTAAACATAGCAATCGAGAAGCCCTTTGTGTTTTAAAGATGTTAGGTTGAACAAACCCAGTTTTGGAATGTTGCCAGTAAAAATAACAAATGCTACCCACCTACAGGTATCACAGCAAGAATGCAAAAGGATGTAAATGTCTGCAGTTGTTTATCAGTATAGGTGCAAATGAGGCCAGCCAAGAATTCTCTACATGTAATTTAAGATGCTCAAGAGCTTCAAATGCTAAGATCCCAACACCACCACTTAACACACACCATTACAAAGCCTTAAGAAGCTTAAAGAATGAAAACTGAATTCTAAAGCAAAGATTTTGTTCTGTATAACAGAAACTCAGTGACGTCCAACAGGACATTACTGCATAGAGTATTAGGCAAATCAGGCTAGGATTGTGCAAACATTGCACAACTGTACTTGTACAGTGACCTGTAAATTTAGGTTTGAAGTCAGACCATGAAAAGTTTAAAATGCCCCAATTTGTCTAAGTATTAAACTTAACATATTGGCGAACAATAGTAATATCACAAAATGACAAGGAAAATGACTATTTCTTGTAGCAGGTGCACAGGCTTTAAGGAATGACAAATTCATTATGCCATTAGAATTTGTGATCTACAGGAGGTCTACTGTGAAAGTAAACAAATTTCATGAATTTGAAAAAAAAAACAAATTTCTTTTGAAATGAGAAATAATACAAGCAGAATATGCTTTGCACCACGATGCAAATGCTGTCTCGTCGGACAGTCCCTTTCTCTCGCACAGCCTGAACAAGCACATGTCTGATCATTGACTACAGTTTACAGAGCCCCCAGATGCCCCATATCATTCCAGCTCATCCCATGAATGTTTAGTGGGGTTCATGTCTGGTGAGTAGGACATTTAGAGAACATTGTGGTGGACACAATATCATCACACAAGAAATATGTCACATGAGCAGCATGAAGACCGCTGGACTGTTGTTACAACAGCAAACAATAGATCGCAGGACTTGATCAATGTAGCTCTATACAGTCAGATTGCCATTAATCACTACAAGAGCAGATGGGGAGAGCCAAATGTGATGGTCTCCTCTACACAACAATGACCATATCATTCTGCATGACTGTGCCACATTTGTGGATGTCCATCAGGGTGGTCAACACGAACACTTGATTCATTGCTGAAAGGGTCTTGGCTCCACTGCCAGGGAGTCCAGCTGAGCTGTTGATCCAACATTCCAATTGTGACACATAGTGGTTCTCTTGATAAACAGGTTATATTGATTTGTTCTTGTTTTTTTTTTATTTTCACAAGGCTCGACGTTCAATAGGTTAAATAACCTCATCACCTGTTTCCAGATAATCTTTCACTAATGAGTGTAATTAGTGCTTATGCAACAAATCCACTGGAGTGTATCACTGTCTCTCAATAATCAATTGAAATGAAGCCAGAAACATTTAATCAATATTCAAAATCGTTTTTTATTAACAAATAATACATGACAAGTGACAACAAAAGCACTTTTGATGCTCAGTATACAATTGTTGTATTTGTTAAAACAAAAAAGAATATTCTGTTAGCCGGGTAATAGTACCAAGTGTTAACCGTATGGACAGGATTATAAAGCATTGCCATTATCCCAGCCCTTCACTGCTCTGAAGGTCTGTGGCTCTCCTACGCATTTGCACAACGTTTGTATTTACTTTAAGGGAACAGTATTGTGCGGAAGTCAATACCTATGACTACACCCCTTAATACTACTGTACTTAGTACTACTGTAACAGAACAAAATAAACAGAACAAAACTTTATTACCAGCTTGGCAGGATGTGCGTTTTTCTGTCACCAACTTTATTATTCTGTATTTCTGTAATATCTCGCATTTATAAAATTGTGTTTTGCTGTTTAGATACTAGACACAACAATTGTTCAAATTTTAAGTGGAAAAACTGGGAGTTATTAATTTAAATATTGAAGTAGTGGCCTTTTTTTCCGAGTTCATTCCTTATGGCAAGGGCACCGCCTCGTTGTCATAGCTGCTGCTGCCGCACCTTGCAAACATGACCTGCCTTCAGGACATAAGAAAGGAGGTACAATATCACCCAAAAAGAAAAAGTCAGACAACGTTCTAAACTGATGTTTCCCGACACAAAGCATTACACACTTTTCAACTTTTAATATTTTTCGCAGTTCTACATCGTCTTATCCTGTTTTTGTTTAACGAGTTAAACCCTTCCGGGATGTCGAAGTTGCCTTGTCGCTTCAGGACCAGCGGTGACAATGCATCCCGCCCTTCTGTTCATATACATACTGTAAAGTATAAGCACTTGAGGTTCAGCTTTAAGGCAAGACTATTCTGTAGGTACGTAGCACCGAAGCATTTAGCGACTTGCGGGATAAACGTCTGACAAGTGATCCCCTAAGTACTTACTGTACCTGGGGTTGCCGCGAATTCATCGCTTTCTCTACGCTTTTGGTTAATTTGTAGTTAACAAAATTAAAAAATAAAATTTACACAGTGCATGCTTTATATGCATGTTTGTATAAAAAAATAGCTTCTGTGGTAAGTAACTTTGGTTTGCTTTCTTTTAATATTGAAACAAAGTTTTTTAAAACAATACGATTTTTTGTAGTTTTAGTATACAGTAGTTGCGAAATGTTATCTACTGTATTAACATTATACCGGTTTAATTAGCATGATATAACATTTGGTCACGATATGCAATTATTTCTTCCATTTTAAGATTTCTATACAATATGCACTGTACTTTTTAAATTAATTTCCTTATACAGTATATACAGAAGGGTACTGCAGGTCGTAGTAGCGTGCCAGCAAGGACTCGTTTTGTAGAGGATGTGTTTGGGTAATTATATTGTAGTTAACCCAGGGTCTGGCTCGCATGACCATTGCTACACTACAGTGGTAAATGACTTGTGCCCTCTACTGTATACTGTATGTAAGGCGTTCTGGGAACCTTCGGGGTGTAAAGTGCTACAGAATGTAATTGTAAGAAAAAACTATTAAAGGCAATGCAATTAGTACTTATTTCATATACATTGCACTGTCCTAAGTAGTTTAAAAAGTTTTTCCAGAATTTCCTTTAGCAATTTGTTGAAGTAAAACATGCTACCGGGAAAATAAACAAACACTGATTCTGGCGTTTTAGCACGGTAGTTTGTATTTCCCCGTTACTGTATATAATACAACTGGGAATACAACATACCTGTACAGTGTTACTTGCTCACACACAGATACAACCAGAGCACGAAATTAACCGGCATACTACTGTATTTTATACAGATGTCATATAGAATTAGGTTTCCTTGGGCTTATGTTTATGAACAATAAAAAAATAAATAATGTAAGTCATCTCTTTACACGAAGGGTTGTCGCAGTCTGGAAAAAGCTACCCAGCCCTGTCGTCAAAGTCGATAACCTGTCATTTTTCAACGGCTGGTTGATACCCACGAATCACTTAACTATAAAATCCAAATGGGCTAGTTCAGTAGTTCCCAATCCTGTTCCTGGTGATCCACACACCTGTTGATTTTCATTCCATCCCACCATAATTAGATTGATGCCTAATTGTTCTAGGAAGTTGCTTCATTGGAATATTTGCATTTTGTTTCTAGACTAGAGTTTGGGATTTTATTTCACTTACATAATACAACAGTTAAACATATTTAAAGATATGGGAACAAACATTTCAGATTATCTTATTATTATTAGGTCATTGAAGGGTTTGATTGTGTAATTGGGGATCACGGCTGGAACAAAAAGAACAGGTGTGTGGGTAACCAGGACCAGGACTGGGAACAATTGGCCTAGATGGACCCCAATGGCCTTTGTCCGTTTAACATTATGTCCTTATACATACATAATGTACAATTCAATTAACATGTGCACAGGAGCAGCACTGAAATTGATACAGTAAGTGTGTTAATTCACCCCTGCAAAATAACAGCCGAAATGAAAAGAAAGCAAAAAACATACATCTTGTCGATAAATTAGTACTTTTATTGTCAAGTTCATCCGCGGCAAGTGTCGGTTGAGGTGTGATGAAGCATCTGAATGCATAGTCAGTGAAACCTTTTGCTTATGAAATCCGAAAACAACTGAAAAGTTGTCTTATTAACGTTACGCATTAATAATTCATAAAATTAGTTTCTGGTCCTTGTTCGAGCGAGACGAGCGGAGAGATAACGGATGCGAACAATAAGTAAAAACGAACCAATTTTAAGAAACCTGGAAAAACAGTGTATGTAATTTCCTATGTAAGCGTCGACGTTCTAAGATGCTTTATGTTTCTGATATTTATCTTTTTTACATTTTAAAAGCTATTGCGATTCCAAAATGCCAGTCCGCAAATGATCATTTCCTCGCGATAAGCTGTTTCCGTAAACAGGTATTGTTGTAAAAGTATAAAAAGAGAATGTTTTCAGTTCCTAAGACAAACTGAAACCTTAGAAAATTGCGGTACCTATAGTTTATTTTATGGTAATACCTGTACTACTGACTTCTTTCCTCAAACAAGTTTCTTCATATGGTGTTAGTAATGCTCTTTTAAAACTGGAAACCGTACCTTTAGTCAAATTATTAGTTCATAATATTTGAAGCATGAACAGTGTAAATAAAATAAACAGATAAATAAAATGTGGCTTTAGGTTTGATGTTATGCTTATAATCCGTAGTGGTGCGTGTATATTGTAGTGCAATTCAGAAAATACAATAAAACTGTTAAGAACATTAGTTGTTATCATTTTAATAATTTATTTCTATGCCGTGGTATTTTATATCCATATGGAACTGGTATTATAAAAATTACATATGTGAATATGTCTAAACACAATTCTCTCAGTTTTCCCGTATTTTTTGCAAGCATACAGTAATTCTTCGTTTCATACTAAACTTATTTGTAGGCACTTCCCTGTGATTATATTATTGTTTATTATAGAATACATTTCCTCCAGTCTTTGTTTAAATAAAAATGCTACTTTATACTGCAAAGTAATAGGTGGGAATGTCGGGTTTTTTTTTGCGAAAACTAGGTGGGTGGTACAGTACGTCGTAATATATTTAAAGCATAGAATGTATTTTAAAAAAGGAAATAAATTGTTTTGTCACTACAATTTCATTGAAAGTATATATAGGAGGTTTGTTTTTTTTAGTGTTGGCAATATTTGAGAGAAGGCAGGGCACACAGACCCAAACATACCCTTAGGGTCACTTTTCCCAAATACCAATTAACCTAACATCTTGTCTTTGTACAATGGGAGGAAAGCAGAGGAGACCAACACAAATACTGGGAGAATATACAGTCATGTGAAAGAAAGTACACCCTCTTTCAATTCAATGGTTTTACACATCAGGGCATCCAGTAAATAACAATTGTCTGGTCCTCACCGACATCCATAATTAGACAAATCTAGCCTCAGATAACAGACAACACATAACAGATTTCACTATGTCATTATTTATTCAACAAAAAGTAAGCCAAAATGCAGAAACCATGTGGGAAAAATTAAGTACACCCTTAGGAATTCCATAGGAATTAAAGTAACAAGGTAATTTGCAGCCAGGTGCCCTTAATCAAATGCACTTGATTAGTTGATCATCATGAAGTGTGACCAACTCTATAAAAGCCGACCTTTTGGCAGTTTGGTTGTCTGGATCATTCAGGTGTGTGTTAATACCATGCCAAGGAGAAGAGACATCAGCAATGG